AACTTATACTACGATCGGTGGATTTCTTCCAAAGGTAGATTGGTTTAAGGGCTTTTAATTAATTTGTACGTTTGTGTAAATGAAAATTTAAGTTTAAATGTTTAGGTAATTAATTTGGAATAAACTAACAAGTTGAGTGACTAAAAAGTATTGAAAACCCTTGAGAATTTTCATAGTGGGTTTTAGGAATAGCAAACAAAATGAATAAATTATTTTACCCGTCAAAAATGTTATGCAAAGGCAAACAGAAATACTTTACTTGTAATTACGACAGGTCCCAAGGTGTTAGGTGGTAGTTCAGGCTTACAAATTAATTTACATTTTAATAATATATCAAGAAATAACATGGAGAGTAATTGAATTTGAAAAGATTTTTTTATTTCATTTTGGTGGATGCGCCAGGTAACATGTTGCGAATGCTTTGATAAACTTAGTACTTAATTTACGTAGAATATTGAGCACTTAAGTAAACAGACTTTATTTTTAGTGGCAATTCAATAAGAATCTCTAGTGTGTGCCAAAAACACGAAATAATATGAAATAATGAAATTAGTACAATTTTTTTAAAGAAAAATAATAAGTTAATATGTACCTATATAAAATTTGATAGTCCTTTACAAATAAGATTTCCGTTTTTTAAATATTTAAATATTTTCTAAAAATCTCAAATTCAACTGAAAAAAACTACATTAGGGAGTGAACGTTATCTTACAAATACAATTCTAAAAATCTTTATTAGTATTATACAAGTCACTAAAATGGAACTAAAAATTAAATAAATTTGCATTTTTAATTATTTTTTTTTAGTTCTTGACATAAAAGCGATGACTTCATTCGTGTCGTTATTACTTTATGCTAATTTTGAAAAACTGTAGTAATATGAGCTTTCGTGCGGAGATTATATTTGCTTGCAAACATTTCTTGCCCATTTTGCTTAAGGTAAAACTATTACAAGTTTCATAACAAGTATATTATCTTAAATCAATACACAAAATTAATATGGGTATTCAAAGTAAAATCTACTTTGTCCAAAGTGAATTAATCACAAATTGATTCTTTTTAATCGTTTTCGTTAATTGTAAAGTAATAAACAATAGTGCTACATGCCCAAATATGCTACATAAAATTTTATCTTATTTATAGCAATAAATATATAAAAAATCTAAACATAAGCCAAAGATTGAAATATTGAACACTAAAACTGGTTGAATTAGACAAAATAAAGTCGGTTATATTATTACGAAAAATATATGATTGATTTGCTTCATTTGCATATTGGTTGATAACAGTATTGTTGGCTATAGCGGACAAAAGATGCATAATTATTTATCAATAAAATGATAAACCATTTTGTTCAATTCAATTTCTGTACAAATGGTTGTATGTGATTCTGATTACTCTGGCATTGAAACAGGGGTTGAATTAAAAAAAAATGAAGCCGATTAAATTAACAAAAGCTTGATTACATGTTTGCGTGAAAAGATTTCAAATAAACGTACGAGTTTTAAAAATTTTGATTCAACCAGAAAAATTGTTAACCGATTTTTGTTGTACGCAAAATATCTTTTATCAACAATACTTTATTATTCTCCAACTTCACATAAATTAAAAATTGCATGAAAATTTTTTTCGTAAATATTAACGTTTACGACACTTTAATAGCATTAAAGTTTCTGCAGTTAGCACGCTTTTAACTGAATAAATCGAAGTTGAAAAATCGGATCGGATAAACTGAAGTTCACAAAATCTCGACGAATAAATCACACTTGACATCATTGTTTTGTGCTATGGTTACCAGTCCCCAAGTTAGATATCTTGAAAATGACAGGTGTTCAATCTTTAGTGATTTAAAATCGCTTAAAATTTTGTTGACTCTTTTTTAAACGGTGTTTCTTATCATGTTTGCATCCAATTTTAAAATTTTGCTTTAGAGTTTCTGTACCTTTGTCAAGTTAAAAAAAACAATAATTAATCAATACCTGACCTGACTTGACTTCTATTTGGTCCGTGTTTTGCTAAAATGTTACAATATTATCGCAGATTTAACGCCGAAAGAGTAAGATGTTAGTATCTAATTTCCACAACTCAAATTCTCGAAATATGAGTTTACCAAATGATAAACATCTTCCAAATATTTTGTTTATGTTATGTTATCATTTGATTAAAATATCTTTTTAAGTGTATGTGCAGGATTAATGAACTGATTAAATCTTGCCTTTCCTCGTTATCACATTTTTCCGGCTATCGGAACTGCCACTCCCTACCACTGAGAGTTTAATACGGTTAATATAGATAGATATTCACCATAAATTTAATCCTCTCATCTTGTTGAAAGACTCGTGTTGAGCTACGCTCTACGCTTATAAATGCGTCAGAAGATTAGGGAAGGCCATAACACGGGATAATTTTTTTTTAAATAATTTGGAGCAATTTTTTCGCAGCTCGAAACGGTCGCTTCAGACGACACGCTGTGCTTTTAAAACCAAAGCACAAAGTTTTGCTAAAAGTTAAATATATTTACTATTGATTAGGGTCGAAAGCTTAGCCTTTGTGTGTAATAAATAGATTGATTAAGGCAAACAAAAGGGTTAGACTTATTTTTAGACCTCGTTTTGGCTTGATTTCCTTCAAATAAAGTTTTTGCGTGGCTTAATTTATTCTTTACGGTACAAACACTGTACTTCTTTTATTGGAACGATCTCTCTGTTCTTCCTATTTTCTTTTGTCTCTTGTTCAAGTATCTGTGACCATTCCGTTTCCATTCGCTTTACGCTCTTCTCCTTTTTCATTCGAAAATAAGCTTTAACGAACTTGCCTTTATGCAAGTGTTGTTATTAAATTTTCTCTCATAGTTGTTTTTATGTTTTTAATAAAAAGGGTTTTCATTGCGATGGGTTGGAATGGTTGAAAATTACAACTTGGGTAAATGAGAATGTAATTTGATTTGGTTTATAGTGCGGTTAATCTTTTTGTGAGTGATACCGTGAACGTCTTTAAATCGTCACGAATTGAAGAACTAGGGATTGGGTTGATACAACAAAAAGTAAATAGCATGAGGGAATGCGGCAACTTCCAGCATCAAGTGGAAATGCGGATGGGAAAGTCCTGCGCATCCCGGCGAAGCTTGAATGGAGAGAGAACAATAACGTTCTAATTTCGAACTAGTCCAAAGAAAAGGGATGGCAGAGTTGTTACATGATGAGGCAATTTTCGAATATTAAAAATTTATTTCCTGACCTGAGACAAAAGCTCAAGAAAACTTGCTAATAATTGATGAAATGTATCATTTTAAAAAGAAATGTTTTTACAAGTACCTTGTCAACCAATAGATTTTATTATCACTTTGCTGCTTTCACTAGACTCATGATTAATTTAATGGCGGATGCGGGAGTCGTAAATTCGTGAAACTAGATACAGTACACTCATCAAATTAAAGCTGAATTAGCAAACAACTGCTCGAAAGTAAAGAATAAATGTTTGCTAACGAACTACCGACGAAAAGTATCTCGATCTTGGTAAAGTAGTGGATTTGCTATCGACTTGCAAATTAACGAAGTTGCCGGATATGAGGGTATATTCAGTTTCATTCTGCTAAAATTTAACGGAACGTTAAAATTTGTAGCCATGACGACAACCAATGAAATTATCTGATTTTCAGATATTACACTCTTCTGAATTTTAACGGCCCGTTAAAAATTACAGGACCTGTTTTAAAATTAGGTCCATCCATTTAAAAAATTGGATGCTTAAAACATTTTTTCGCGTGGCGATTTTATTTTTAATTAATTGTACATTTGAAAATGCATTGAATTAATGCTGTTTCATAGGTTAACATGCAGGTCGATACAGCATTAGGTAGTGTATTAAATCACAAAATACAAGCATCAATAGGTATTTACATTAAAATACACAAATACTTGATTGCAATTAAATGTCTAAATCTCAAATTTTTATTTGAAGAAAAAATCAAAATAAGTATATGACGCCACTTCCTCTACTGAATTTTTTATGTAATAACACTATGTGAAAATAAAATGGGAAAAGAAATTCTCATCGATTGGATGCACTTTCAGCAATAAGTAATAAATATCCTAAAATGAGGGCTTCCAATTGCATGAATGTGAAGCACTTTCATTCGTGTTTATGGATATGTACAACAGAAATTCCTAATCGTTTTAACTAAACGTGTATTATAGAACACAGAAAATTTGTGATTTTAGGGCGTTTTGTGCTAGATATCAGCTAACATAAAACATTAAAACACTACTTACTCTTGTTATTGCAAGTGAAAAACAGGATATATTTCTCTAGGGTGCGAAGCTTATGTAATCCCGGGTATGACGCAGCTATTATTTCTAATCTACCCAAAATTTCAACGGCTAGAGCAAGAAAAATGTAGAAACACAAACTAACGGTGGCTTTACGAGTATCCCAATTACGAAGTTTCTGACTTTATTATATATTTGCTAAAATGTGATGAAAAGCTAACATTATGTACAATTGAGATTACTTTTCTGTCACGTAAAAATTAAACAAAAACAAATCCTGACACACCCTTATTATTTTTGTGATTTTTGGATGTAGCGTTTAATGATGGTTTTGCTTTATTTTTGAATTAATCAGACGCTATGTACCTACACTTGAGTGTAAAAAAATCGTTAATTATCAAAAACAAAATTGTCAAGTTTTTTAGAGACTTACATAGTGTGAAAAAGGTTGTTTCCAAATAGGTTAGAAAATTATCAAAAGAAATGTCTTATTGGGTGCATTGTCATCAATCAAATTAATCAAATAGAGAAATGGAAAAACATGAAAAAACTTGATAGAAATTTGGAAGATGCCTGATAATTATGAAATTGTAAATTGTGACAAAGACAACATCAAAAAACTGGCATTACATTATAAAATATCAATTTGCGTTTTTTTGCACTCAAGTGTATATTTCTCAATTCAAGTCGCAAAAAGTTGTGGTGGAATTTGCTGCAGAAGTTGCTCTTTATTGGTATTACTGACTTTATGCAGTCTACAAATGTCTGCATTTGTTTTTATTTTAAATGTATGACCTATTAATTCCAAAGTTTGAGCGCAAAAACGGGTCGCTAAATTTATTTGTCGAGCATTCATTTTGGTTAGTTAACAAATGAACACATCCCAGATTAATTTTTCGGCGAAGTTTGTATTAAAGATTTGACAGATTTTGACACAAATGATCCGTCAACTTGTTAATGAATTTTGAAATTGAATGTGCAGGTTTTCGCACGTTACATTACCATACTTGCCAAAAAATTGTGTTCCTCATTCTCAACAAAAGTGATGGATCGTGACTGATTAAGGGATTTCATGGTTACCACTAAATTTCCGCAATCAAATATTCGTGGTCTTGCATCAGCAACAGGTGTTTGTTAATTTATTTATTAGTTTAAAAAAATAGTTTACTTTTAGAAAATGGTTCATTTACAAACACTGGCTGTTTTCACTGCGGGCATAGTAGGGGGGATTTGTTTTGGAACTTATAAAGATGCATTATGGAATTTTCTTGATTTGGATTCGAAAAGAAAACAGTGGACTGACTGGGGCTCCGAATGTGAAGCACTAAAAGAGGAGGGGGAATGTACCTGCTATAACGAAGACTGATCCAATGAAACCAAATTTTTATTTGTCACATTAAAAATTAATTACAAAATGTCATAATATTTGAATTTTAATTAAGTTTATTACCTCTCTCACTTGGAACAAAGTTAATTAAGTTATAAAATTTCAGGAAGTATATTTTTAACTAAATTAAAAATGACTGAAATTTATTATAAAAGAAAAGCTATCCTAATATCGTTAGTGCGGTTTATAAACCATCAACTAAATAGAATTCGTGCAGAATCACTGGTAATTTCATCAGTATTTTTGTAAAAAAATTCAAATTGATTTTTTTTCTACCACACGTATATCTAGATAACTAAAACTGGATTCAGATGATTGATTAATTTTGGAGTTGTTAGGCAGGCCAAAGCATAATGAGATTTTAATTCCAGAATAAATAGAAGCGTAAACACAGTAATTGTGAAAGACAATTAATTTGGTGGAGATTAGTTTAAATAGTTGACTCGTATATGCGGAGGAATGTTGAAAACAGAAATGGGTTAATTTATGCAAACGTTGTAAATATCTCATTTTTATGATCATAACAGACATGACAAGTTTACGATTGTCGGGATTCTGGAATAGAGACAGAGAGGGAGTGATAAATTGGAAGAATTATGTTCAAACTTTTTGGTTGGTTTCATCACAGTGGAAACTATAAAACTGTTTTATACCTAATAATAGTCATAATTGTAAAAATAACAAAAACATTTCGCAACTATAAATAAATACAAAAATTTTACGTCTGTAAGTTTCATCCGCTTAAAGCCTCAAATTTCTTAATTCTTGTCCTGGCTAATTTATCGTATTTAAACCTCCAACAACTTTTCTTATTACTGTTTTAGAAAATCTTAAATAATAAAGATTAATTGACTGCAGTAAATCAGAATCTTAAGTTAGTAACAAACTTCAAACTCCTATTAAAAGTTAAAAAATTCAATGGAGGAAGCAAATGCTACACATGTACAATATGCCAAAACCATTGGTATTAGTCCGAGTCGCAATCAATATCAGGATTATGTTAAATTGATAATCTAGCGTACCGAAGTGACTTTTGACTTGGTCCTATTCCAAGAATCTTCTGCTTATATTAAATTTGTATTAGATATGACGTATGTTCTATTACGTATTTTATTAGGGCCGTAATGCGCTTACGAATTTTATTTGGTCTTTTGTTTTTACTTTTAACATCAAACAAGAAACAAATTAACTAATACACTTTTTTGTTTCAGTTACAGAAAAGGAAATAAGGCAATGGTAAGTTTCTTAAAGTTTACTTCTGATTAGCAACAGGCCATTGCGTGAACAAACTTTTAAATAATATAAGTTGTAAAATTAAACGTTGTATAATAAAGATATAAATAATATTTGCAAAACCTATTACCTATATTACCTGCCACTGAAAGTTTGAGTCGCTTGTAATAATAGAGTTGACGCTGATCGTTTCGTGTTGTAAAGTGATTAGCATTTTAAACCTCACAACAAGTTACACGTTGAGCAAAATATGGTTTTCACGTTTCCGTTATAATTCCGAACCGTGTTTTAAACAGTTAGGTATACCACAATCGCTATTTCTGACACTGGTGTCAACAAGTAAAAAACAGGTAATTTTTAAATGCCAGGATAATGTCAAGGATAGTACAAAAATCCTTCTTTTTAACGAATTATATCCCGCCTATTATTTTACACCTGCAATTTGGAATTAGACATATCTTGTAAATTCTAGTGGAAACCAAGGCGGATATTAGGTTTTCGCTCTAATTTATTAGCACCTAAATTAATTACAATCAAAAAGAGGGAAGGAACACGTGCTATAAATTATCAGATTTCGGCTACATATCTCGGATTGTGAAATGTGACTTGTTCTCATAAACACAGAGGTGTAATCTGATCTAAAATGAAATTTACGCGAAAACAATTTTGTTTTTTTATAACAAAAACACATTTTTCGAAATTAATTCACATCTTGATCTAAGAAGTGCATATATATTTCCATTAACTCTCCTTTTCTAATTTAGTAAGTAAAGAAATAAGGTCAGCCTGTTTTTATTGCAGAGTGGCAGCTTTTATAGGTCTTATTTACACAGTGTCTCTGCTGGGATATCCTCTTGCAACTTTGATATCCTGTAAAATATTCTCGGGGAAAAATAACTAGAGAGCAAATATACAATTTATATCTGAAAGTTGTTTAAAAAATTTTGTGGTTGTTTCAGGCATAAAGGATTTTTGAAGGACTGTCCCAACGGTCTTCTAACAGAGCAGGTAAGTGGATACTTTTTCATTTTACATTCTGTAATTTAATATTTATTTTAGGGCTTTATAAAAATTTATAAACAATTCTTCCCACAAGGAGATCCTTCCAAATTTGCCTCTTTAGTGTTTAGAGTATTCGACGAAAATAACGTAAGCCACTTTTCTGTTTTTTTTTTATACGGATAGTTAAATATTTAGTATAGTCGTTATTGTTAGTAGAAAAATATATACCTCATTATAAAAACGTCAACCCAAAACAGGTAAGTAAATATCTGGGTACACATAATGCAGATAATTGAATTTTATGTCACTCATATCGGTTTATACTTTTATAAAAGGATCGTTATAATTCTGTCAGAAAGGCAATTTTGACCTGTCTGTTACTGAGGTGCTGTCGCAAGATTCAGTTTGATTTTAATTTGATTTTTTCACATCACAATAAATAATAAAAACGTTTAGTTTTTATTTCCGACCAACTCAGGCACCAACGTTTTATCCCACTTCAGTGAAAAGCCCAACGATTGATTTTTCTTTTATTTACGGTGAGTATTTGATGGATATAAAGTTGATTTAGGAGTCACTGTACAGAACAAACATTCTCCTCTGAGCTTTTAGATGACATCAACAACTCGACGAAGTGCGAATAGTTGTCCCGTGAGTATACAGCACCATTAGAATTCTAATTACTCGTAAAATTAATGGAGTTGTTTAAAATCGTGGATTATCTACTGAATGCCAATATGCCAGTCACTTCAAGTTTAATAGGCATTAGGTCGATATTAGATCTAATGATAAGTTTAAACGTTATACAATGAAATGAAATGCATGTCGCACGCTGCACGGAATCTGTTCCACAATCTTGAATATAAGAGTGTTATTGTCATTTCGAAAAATACTCTACGCATGATATATTTTATGTTTTATGTTACAGGACGGTTCTATCGAGTTCGAAGAATTTATTAGAGCACTTTCGGTTACGTCTAGAGGAAATCTGGACGAAAAATTACATTGTGAGTATATTCACGACCCTTTGATCGTGTGAATAAACGAAGCATTTGAACCAATAAAAGAAGTAAAAATATCGTTTCTTGTAATTTTGGCAAAGCGAAATGTAGCAGAGCTTGTGGTTGGCCTTATTCACACGATACATTTTAACTTGCATTTAACTTACAATTTTTTTTATTGCTATAGTAAATTAACCAAAACGGTTTTGTCTCGATAAAATAGGACTAGGTGTACATGACAGACGTGCCCTAGTTTAAGCCGTTAAAATTGTTATGAATCAATCAGAGAGTCGAGCTTTGGTTGTTACGGACGATTTATCGCCTCATATTTTTTGTAAACAGAATGAAATATAGACATTTGTCAAAACGGGTCAACTTTTCTAGGATGATCAAAAACATTGCTGCCTGGCTGCCTGTTTTGTTGTCTCTTTTTTAATATTTATTATTTACACAAAAGTAAACAGAGAACTTGGCATAGGTATGTGCTACTAAGTCAGTTTCGATAATTTTGTTGGGTTGTTAACTTGAAGATTTTCAATTTTTTGTTTACAGATACAGTTGGTAGGTTTCAAAAACTAAAAAGGAACCAATTATGATGTGATGTTATGTTAAAAGCAAGCAAAAAGGAAATAAATGCCTTTGATAGGTTCATTATCTTTTAAAAAATTATACTCAAGTTTCGGTGTGGTTTACATGCCGCGGTAAGCCACCTTCATACAATCCAATGACACTTCGCCGCCATCGTTCCAACTGGTTGCCGCGATCAATAACACCCACCTACTTCTAATCGGACCACAGGCTATAGAAGGTCCTACATTTTTTGTTTTTGTTTACATATTACGTAATTCAAAATTTAAAAGCTTCTTTGTACTGGATAATAAATTATGCATTAAATGCATTTCCTTTTTATTAATTGCAATACATTCTTGTCATATAAATAAAACCGAGCGTTCAAAACAAATCTTAATACAAATGTGTATCATATCTTATAAAGCCTAAAATTTGCAAGATTGAAAAAACACATTATGTAATCACTAGAAAAAACCGCGATAGAGCGACAACCTACGCAAATACATACATAAATCGATTTTATTCCAAGTGTTAAAATATTGATACATTTTTTTTCTCATAAATTGTAAAGAAAAGTGCTTTGAACAAAGCTTTTTCCTGTTCTTTCAAACTATAAATCATTATTTAAAAACCTTGAAAATAAAAGTTAAGTCTAATATATTGTACCATTTAAAGGAATACTAGAACGAGTTTTGGAAGTACTGTAACACCGAAATAAAACTTCAATTTATTTTTTTCTCAAGCAGTGTATGTAAAACTGTTTATATCAAATGCACTAAAAGAAAGTGCCCATTTTTGTTTATACTAAGGTAAATTTTACTCACTCAACCTCGAGATATTCTTTAGGGGCATTTCGACTTTATGACGTGGACAACGACGGTTTTATAACAAGAGACGAAATGTACAATATTGTGGACGCCATTTATCAAATGGTGGTAAGTATCGAAATCATCAATCAGTGAGTATTAATTTAAGACACCTAATCAGCATAACAACATTTCACATTGGTCCTATTCCAGAATTCGTACTAATAGACGTTGCAAATAACAAATACCTATTTTTTAACTTTGATACCTTACATTTTTCAAAACTGAACAACATCTTGTGAAAAAAAAAGAATTTTTTACTATCGGTGATGATTGATGAAAACTTTGATTTCTCGTAATTAATATCTAAAGAAGATTTTGCGCTATCGTTTGATGTAAGTTTTATTTGTTTTAATTATACAAAGTGCTAACTAGAAGTCATCAATTTGTGAAAATTTTCAATCATAACTTTAATCCAATCTAATATTTTTTTATTTTATCATATTCTACAACTAGTTCATTTTTTCCCTCTTAGGTATATTGTAAATTTTGAAATCAATAAAATCGCAATATTCTTAATACAGGTTAAAATTAACAAAAAAGGAAAAAGAGGTAACCCAGAAAATAAAATAAGAATCATTTTGGTGTATCACAGAGTGTATCAAATTTCTAATATACATCATTCATGTGTACTCTATACATCATTCATGTGTCATTCGACACTTGTGCCCTAAAGCATCTTACGATGCACTTTGAGTTTAAACTTTAGTAGGTAGTAGTGTTCTAAAAGCATAAACGCGAAAATACGTGTTTTATCTTCTTTTTGACCTGGAGACCAATTCTTTCTTTTGTGGGAAAACAGCCACTTAGCTCACTTGTTGCATAAACAGCAATTTTCGCAATGTGATAAATTGTGATTTTTTCCCAGGGTCAACAGCCGTCCGAGGATGAAAATACTCCGCAGAAACGGGTGGACAAAATCTTCGATCAAATGGATAAAAACCACGACGACCGGCTAACTCTAGAAGAGTTCCGAGAAGGCAGCAAGGCTGATCCCAGAATTGTCCAGGCCTTAACGCTTGGTCCCGAATAGCATAAGGATGCGGGAATTTTACCCGACACACTCTGACGCAAGCAGGGGACGTTATTCGAAATCAATTTCAAATACGAATCCGATTTTTACAAAATTCTCTCGTCTTGTTGTTAAGACGGGGCAGTTTTTGGCTGTTTTTACATGTCGAATTTTGTCCCTCGTGTCAAAACTACGGCTACGACGCTCAATTATAAATATTAGGAAGTTGAATAAATCGTCTTTATTATAGTTCTGTTTTGTTGGGTAGGATGTAAAAAGACGGTTTTATTGTGTGACGTTACAAAATATACCGACAATCATCAGATTTTTTTGCCGTGCTATTTTATTGAATGACTTTCAACTTCATATCAAAACGTTTTTTTTTAGTTGACTTATTTTCGTAATAGAACCTCAGCTCTTATTTATGTGCACTTTATTCAAAGTAAAAAAAGTGTCAAATAAAAATAAGTAAGCTAAAAAATAAATTAATACATATGTCTATAAACACCACACCGTTACTGGAGGAAATTTTATACATATTTCCATGTTAGCAATATCCTTTTTACGTCCAGATTTGGAATTTTAAAAAGCGTCACTGTTAAAAATATTTGCATATAAAGTGAAGTTTTAAACTACTGGATGTTTTTTCACTTAAACTCTACAGTAGCAATAAAAAATCCTATATAGATATATTAAAATATAAATACTAATTTATTGTATTTAATAAAAGCTCAATAATTGAGATTCAGAAGTGAATTTGTTTCGACTGCGTTTTTATATCCAGTAATTTAAATTTATCACTGTTTGAATTACTCTTTACGACACTGCATGTATGATGAACGATAAAAGTTATCACAAATTTGCAATTCCATTTTCTCTATACCTAAACTATGATACTTAATATGTAGTAATAGATTACATTAATGGTAGTTTTAATCTATTCATGTACTATAATCATTTATCGACTATTTTAAACTAAAGACAAAACACTTTATGCCGAAAAGTAAAATCTTAAAATCTGTATTTTTATGAACAAAAATTTGTTAAAATGTTTGTGCCTATTTATTTTATAAAGCTTTTGCAAAGTTGTAAATGTTCAAAAACGAGTTGTACTTTACTTTTTCTGTATTGTTATCAAAAAATCGAATGGTGAAAAACTGCAAAAAATTTTGGTAGGTACCTACTCAATGTTGGTATGACAATACCCATCAATAATGATAAGCAATTAATTTCAAATAACTGTTAAGATTTTTTTAAAGACAAGAAATAGTCGTTGTCGATACGATTTATAAAATTTAAGTAAGTATTCACTATTCTTCCTTGTAGCTGTACTTTTATGTAAACAAACATTAAGTAATATTTACATAAGTGATAGTTGGCAGTGTTAGTTGTTAACTAATTTTAAAAATTTTTAGCTATTGCCATGCACAAATGTTGAGTTATTTTAAGTTTCGTTGTTATTAATAAAACACATTGTAGAATAAAGTGATTGCGCGTTGTTAAATTTTTGATTATTTGTAATGATTTAATAGCGCGGCCTAACAGTATGCATATAAATTGTTATAAGTTTACATTTTGACTGTAGCGACGCGCTATTTTTTTTTATTAACGACCTTCTGTGATAATTACAATCATTGTATCGCAATAATGAAAATGCTGTGTCTTGTATTGCCGTAGGCTGTTCTTGTTGTTTTAGGTAATTCGTAACATGATTGTTTTTTGACACTGTTTGTTGTTGTAAATTATATGAAGCAAATACATGACAAATGTGTACAAATATATGGCATAAATTACAATAATAAAATCATTAATAATGATAATAAAACGATGGAATGGACTATTTTATTGAAACTCATTTATAAACACAAAATATAGCCGTGGCGGTAACGTTTATGTCTTTTACCCTGTTTTATAGATTCTACATCCATATAATGCACGTAAAACTTCAAACAAGTGTTTCTCTACGTTTTATGGTTTGTAAATTCGGCAGGAAAGGAACTCACTCAAAAAATTACTGTTCTGAAATTGTTGCAAATTGAAAAAAATAAAATAAAATCGAAGATGTATCATCAGTCGAGGCAATTAAAAATCGCTTTCTAAGCTAAAAGCTGCAGAATTGGAAAACTATATAAATGCGGTAATTATATTTTGTGGTTAATTTAGCTGAATGCTAAGAAATGCTTATTTTGATCGCAAATACACATAATTTGCAAGTGGTAAACAGAAATTAAACAACAATTCCGTTTTAAACTTTGTAGATCAGTTTTTCTAACGTTGTTGTTTAAAATTTAAACAGTTTTTGCAGTTCTTTTAAAAAGTTACTGTATTTGAGTAACTTTAATAATCATCTATGAATTTTAAATTGAATAAATAATTCCGTATAAATCACGCAAATCCGGAAAATAACTCACAAAAAAATCCCAATTTTGCTTAAATGATTAACGATTGAGACGTAAAATCAAGTTGAATAACCTGGAAAAGAAGCCAATAAGAAACTCTATAAAATGAGAAAAAATTAAATTGACAAAAAAATCTTTCATAAATTTCATTCTTAAAAACGGTAAATTTTTCGTAGCACTTTAGCTTTCACCCAATATTTTTTTCTGAAAGTAAATAAGTATGTGCTTATATGCTGCATTTCTTTCATATAATTATTAGTATAAAAATATTAGTTAAAAAAAATTGTAGACTATTTAGTTGAAGTCTTATAAAGCATTAAACCCAAATGAATAAACTCGATTTAGGAGTTTAATGAATATTATAAGCGAATTTCAATATCTGACGAATGACCATTATAAATACAAAGTTGTTTTATTCTGAAGTCAGTTAGTTAGGTTTAATTATTCATGCATGACTCATTGATTACAGATGAAGATAAATCAAAAAGAATTGCTAATACCTCCATTGTTCCTGATCCCGAGTTCAGAGCCTAGTCAAGTCCTGAAAAATCTAATAACAAATCTGGAATACAACTACTGGAAGCAGCGATAATCGTTACACATATGTTGAACCAAAGTGTAGGTATAACAAAAAAAGCTCTAGAACCAATCTTAAAAATCTAATTTTAACAACGATGAGAGAGGAAAAGAAAGTAGTTTAGTGTCCCTTAAAAACGTCATTGTATTTGACTAATTTTCATAATTTCAAATAAAGATTTGAAATAAGTAAATAAATTATTTGAAAAAAAAAAGAATTATTGCTCCGCAAAATTTTCAGTATATATTATACTAGAAAATACAGAGAAAATGTACTTTATGATACCAAACACGGTGTATAAAACTAAAAAACTATAGGACCAAGCGTTTTTTGCTTAAACTATTCACTTTTTGAAAATAGTAGACTGCGTTATGTAAGAGGTAAAAGTGACACTTGTGTGTCTAGATAATAGAAGTAAAAGTTCTACTTTTAATTATTAATTAATTGCAAACATATAATATAAAAAGTACAAAAATTTTAATTCAACACGGCATAATCTTCTAAAGTATTAAATTAATGTATTTATTTCATTTTTATAACAAGCAGCTAACTTCTAAATCTAAATACATATATGGCTGTTCAGAACAGGAAGCTTATTGAATAAGCAATATTCTAAAAAAAGTTCGTTCTTGACAAGATGAAACTTACAAGGCTTAACTTAAAAAAATATATTTCTCCATTTTTCTGAGGTAACGTTAAATAAATAATCACGTCGTGGAGTTCTGAACAGCTTACGTGCGAATCTCATACAATAATTAATTAAACACATCAATAGTAAAGACAATTGAAACACATGTATGGCAGTAAACTTCCTTATTGGCACGCGCTACAAAAATTAATTCAAATCAATAAATTGCGATTATCTTTAATTAGAATCTCAATCATCACTATTACTAACATCCAAGTGTATCCCCATCGGCCCTAACATATTACTCGACGGTCCCGCTTCACCTAACTGCGATTTATAACTCTCCAAAATATTCTTCAACGCGTTCACATCAATATCAACAGGTTTAAAACTTTCAATATCCTCAAACCCATCCCCATTTTTCTTCTCGAAACTTTCCCCGATTGTAGTGGCCGCCAACTCTTTATCCATCTGTTCCATATACTCCTGCATTTTATTTTTAACCCCTTCGTACATCTCCTCATTGTCACAGACGTCGTCAGCGTAATCGCTCATATCAGACCCCGAATCCAAATCCCAACTGTCATCCTCGGGAATTACAAAATTCAGTATATTCTGAACAGCACACGAAAACGCATTGGGATCAAAACTGACCCTGTTATTGGCTGTTGTCTCGGTTTTTGTGCCACTTGCAAACGACACTTTGCTACGTTTTTTGACACCTCGGGGAGGCCGCGTTGGGGAATTATTGTCAACGTCGGGATGCTCCACTCCGTCGATATCTGACACATGGTTTAAAAACGAAGAAATTTTCTCAGTGAATGAAGACGCGTCTGAATTGTTATTAACAGTAACAAATTTCTTTTGACCGTATTTTTCCTCCAACATCTTATCTAGCTCTTCTGGAGTAATGTTAAGCCAAGAATCGTCATCGTCATCCAGAAGATTACTTTCTTCCTTCTTCAATTCATCGATTTTAAAATCTAAAGTCTTCATCAATTGAAGAATTTCCTGTCCTATCGCCGGTGAATAGTGCATCGAATCTCTATGATTAATGTAATACTCTTTCGCTTTATTCAGTAAATCGTTGTATTCCCTAGAATGCTCCAACAATCCCCGAAAATAATTTTTCTCTTTTAATTTTTCAAGGTAACTGACCCATCCCTTATCCTGTTCAATATCCTGGCTCGGTTTGGCTTGCGCTGCTAAAATTTCGAACCCACAAGCGATTTTAACCCCTAAATTATGTGCTTTAAATTGCGGACTGTCGGTTTTAGGTAAATTCCAACCGGTGCGTCGATCCGGAACATATTTACTGTGAGTTAACATTGCATATAAACATTTCGTGAATGTCACTCTGGCATTTACGCGGTTTTCGGGCGGAAAATATTTCATGGCTTTGCAGGTTTTGGCGTCCACAGGGTCTCGATTACAAAACACTTGGACGGCGGGGGCTATAAGCCCGGGCTTGTGTCGCAAAATTGCAGCAACACCTACTGGGAGATAAGCTGTGGCATGGTGGAGATTGGTATGAATTTTGTCAGGGTAGTCTTTTAATTTGTTAATTATGCAATTTTGGATGTCTGAGGACGCTAAAGTGTCGATCGGGTTGTTTTGGATTGTTGAAACGGCCTCGTTGACTGCCATTGGGACCATTTCGAGAAGACGATCCGAGTCGTCTAGAGGGATGATATGAATGTTGCCTTGGAAGATATATACCTGGAGAAAAAAAAAACAGACGCGATTCAGTTTTCCTAGTTTTGGTAAAAATATTATTATTTTTAATAAATAATGAGAGTGACGCTTTCTACATATGTATTTTATGAAAATTAATATTTAAAATTAAGAAAATAATAGTAAACCTTACCCTATTTTCGCAGTTGTTGGGGTCTGCCCATGAAGGCAAGTAGTCTGCTGCTTCAATTAAAATAAATTCTCCGTCAGCGTCGTGCACACGAGCTATTAAGCCATCAATGTCTTTAGTTAATAGACGTAAAAGGAAGACAATAAACCATTCATCTTCTATATTGTCTCCAAAATGAGTTACGCCATATAAATGTGGTGGTAAATACTCTGCAAAACAATTGTTCATTAATCAGGTGCTGTAAATAAATGATTAAAAGAATTTCTATACTGTGATTCATCATACATATTTATTTTAAACAAAGCATTGTCTGATTTATAACCTCAAAAAAACACTTTTTTATAAAACATAAATAATTACCTGCTTTCTTACTGTCATGAATCAGTGAATTACTAATCCAGGTTCTCACAGTTAATTTGAATTCGTCTTTATGCCATAAATACTCATCGGTGTACTTTTTTATGATTTTTTCACACTGATTTAAAATTCTAGTTAAAGCAACTTCTTGTTCTTTGTCATCCTGGGTGTCAATTGGCGGAAAAAGATAATATTCAACAAAATCATCTTCACGAACGGATTCAAGAACGTTAACTTTACTTGCCATCGTTGTTTTAAAACTAATCAATTAAAAAATTTGAATGACATTTCTTGACATTTGACAAACCATTGAAGCCAACCGCACACACAACAATTCCCTAAATTATTTAAAAACTCTCACTTGTATTAAAATCTTAAAATAACAATTATTAAATGCTGAAGTGCTTTTATTTAAAGAATATAAGTATGAACTTATATAAAATTAACAATAAAAAATTATTTAAATGGTTTAAACCACTTAGGGACCTTTTCAGTCGATTTTATGACTTTCCTTTCGTAACTGGTTGGTTGTGTACTTGGTCCAGCAGCATTCACTTCAGTCAAGGTGTCTATAGACTCGTCTTGGCCCATTTCTACAGTAGGAGATTCCGGTCTTGTTCCTTTTTGCCTCATATGTGATGCCGCTAAACTTGCTTTTGAGTTTGTTGTAAATTTATCTCTCAATGTCGATTTCAAACATACAGAACTGCCACCATCATTTGTTCCTAAATGCAATAAAGCCCCTGGTACGCAACCAATCTCTAAAAGTTTCGATTCTTCCGAAAGAATATTTTTTGGAGGTGTTGTGTCTGTAATAAATCATGTAGTAATTTAAACATATCAAGAAAAAAATCTTACAAAGATGAAAATCAACATTTGGATCTTCTAAATACGAAGTGACAAAATCTTTAATATCTTTAACGGTTTCACTGGGTTTAAAACTCCCTTGAAGAATTGACCTGTCTGGAAACTGTACCCGAATTACTGATTGTTTATATTTATGCAGTTGTCGTAATTGCTTCTTTGATTCTTCTAAGTTCCTCATAGCAGAGGTCATTAAATTAGCGTTGTCCATTTCATTCCTTTTTCGTCTAATATCACCCAAAATTCTCTTAGCATCATCAATTGTGAGTTCAAAAAAGTCGTCTGGAAGTTCCTCAGCTGGTAAAGAACGGGCCGATTCAAGAGAAAACAACATTGCTTTGCGTTCTCCAAGCTAGAAATTTGAAACATAAGTAAAACTTAACATTTTTTGATTTTCATACAAAGACAAAATCTTCCTCAAGCTGACTTGTTGGTGGGTTTGTTACTGGCTGTGCAGCAGACGCTTTTGGATGATTTGCAATTGACTCGTTTTCAGGCACATCAACATCCATCTTTTCTTCATCACTCTCAACCTTTGGTTTAATTTTAGGCAAATGTATTTCCGTTTCCGGTGTTTTAGAGGGACTGCTCAATTTTCGCTTTTCCCGTGCTAATTTCAGTAAATCCACTTCATTTTTCTTTTGTAAAGGTTTCACTTCAGGGATAGTTTTAGAATATTCAGCTTCAGTCTTTAAGATGCGATGAAAAGGTTTCTCCTCTGCCGGTTTAGTAGGTAGAGGAGCAGAGACATTTGCTTGGACTTTTAATTCATCAGGTCGTCGATACATTAATCGCATCATCGCTCTACCACCTCTAAGGCCCAAACTTCGCAAAGTAGTTTTTTGCAAATTATCACCGTAAATTTCATTTCGCATATACACCAAAACAGGATTGTCGTCGGGTTTAATGTTGGGGCATAAGTTTGTCAGTACCTTCCATAAAGTATCATCTGGCTGAAAGTTACCCATAACTCGGTCCCCGCTTTCGGAATTTATGGCTAGAATTACTTCAGAATCAGTGCGAGTCTTGGTTGCTGTTGCCAGTTCTAATTGAGCGTTATTTGGCAAACCAGAAAAACGGAAAGAAATTGTTGTATCAAGCACTTTGTTGTGATGTTTAATGTCGTAATCTTCCGGTTTAAAACCTTGTTTGCGACAAACCTCTTCAATAATCTGAAAAATAGTTGGTGCCTCTCTGTATTTTGCCAAGTTTCAATGATTTTTGTACCTGCATTATTGTCGTATTTGCTGTACATTTAACAGTCTGTCGACGACCGTTTGGGGCCAAAACTGAAACAGTACTACCCGACATTTTCAAAATGTGTTCTTAAGAAATTAACTCTGACTATTTTTGACTATTCTTAGGCAATGTTGATGATTTTTCATTTTGAAGTGACAGTTAACCTACAAATTTAACATCACTCCAGGTTTGCCACCAATAATGATTCAACTTCTTTTTATTAAAAATATTCATTACCATTAATATGATTTATAATTTAATATTTCTAATTTATACATTATTCGCATGATTATTGTTTTTTTTTCTCTGTTATGTTGATTGGCATCAATTTTTTGCTTGGCTTTTTGTTGGTAACATTTTTATTTTGACGGTATCAGTGATTTTCACATTTGACAGTAGCACTTTTTTAAGTTTGGACGCGGTTTTTGTTTTGAAATTATTTCACTAATAATATCCTTTTTTCTTTTCTTTGCATTAATAGGGCTACACTTGTAAAGGAAATGGAAGAAAAAGAAGCTAGTCTTATGCAAGCTACTGAAACAGAGGAAAGCGTGGACATCGAGGCAGAACCTTTCTTCCAGGATATTTACATGCTTTCCGATCACGGAATTTCCCTTTCTGATGTTGAAGAAATGCGAAAAATCGGCATAAACACGATTAAAGGTCTCCAAATGACCACAACAGACAAACTTTTGACTTTAAAAAGCTTTGATCAGTGTAAAGTAAGCAAGATTCAAGAAATTTGTGGAAATATTTGTCTCAGCAATCGTTTCATGACAGCCCTTGAGGTATTTGAAGAAAGCAAGCAAGTTTTTAAAATAAATATGGGAAGTGCAAATCTAAAGTAATTTTCCATATTGTAACTAATTCTTGTGCGACTTAAATTTTAAAATTTTTTAGTAATTTATTGGGCGGGGGTGTAGAGTCAATGTCTATTACTCAAGTTTTTGGAGAGTCTGGAACTGGAAAAACTCAAATTGCTCATACTCTCTGTGTCACTACGCAAATACCGACTGAAGAATTTTCCGGGGGCAAAGTTATGTTTATAGACACGGAGCATACTTTGTAAATTAATTTTTACTTAACACAGATTTAAGATTAAAATTATTTTCTTTTAAGCCGCCCCAATCGCATTCGTCAAATTGCACGTCATTTCAATTTAAGTGAAAATAGTGTTCTGGAGAATATTCTTTACGCCAGAGCTTATAATTCCGAGCATCAGTATCAGATCCTCAAAAAGTAACTTTACTTTGTTTTTTATTATTTACATTATCTTTAAATTTTAGTGTTGCCGATAAGTTTCACGAAGATACGGGTGTGTTTAAGCTTCTTATTGTCGATTCTATTATGGCTTTATTCCGCATTGACTTTCTGGGTAGAGGCGCACTTGTAAATAGGCAGCAAAAATTGACGGAAACAATGTCACTTTTGAGAAAAATCAGTGAAGAATATAATGTCGCTGTTTTAATAACCAATCAAGTTTCAACAAATATGAATAACAGTAATTTTCCATTATTGAATATTGATGATGAACTTAAACCTCTTGGAGGGAATGTTTTGGCTCATTCATCTACTACTAGAATAGCTTTGAAAAAAGTCGCGGGAAATGTGAGGATAGCGAAGATGATTGGTAGTCCTGAGCTTGAAGAAAAGCAAGAAGCTTTTATTATAACTGGTGGAGGAATACAAGATCCTAAATTAGATGCAGAATAAATTATTATAATTTAAGAGAAAAAAAAGTTAAGTTTAAGAGTATTAAATTGTTTTAGTTAGTTAAAAATAAGAGTGTATTAAATCGTTTTGTTTTAGTTGATTAAGAATTGTTTTAATCCCTAATGATGACTTTCATGTCTGTATAAAATATTATACATACATGGAATTAGAGCATGATCACTTACGCATGTTCTTCATTTAACCTCTTGCTTATATATGTTGTGTTATGATGTCTCTTTCAGTAATAATGACGTAAATTTGGGTTCATTTCATTTGTGGTTTATGAGGTCAAATCATATTTTTTCTGCGATTAATTGAATGATGGTTTATTGAAGCAATAAGTGGTGTTACTCTTATCAGGAAATAATATTCATCCAGCCTATTATTATAATACTTCAATGTACAAAATTAATCCGCGGATGTTTGTTATAAACATAATTGTATAATTTGGTGCAAGAGTTTTGATATAAGGAAAAAAAGATTGAGATAACCTCATCATGATTTCATTAAATTTGGAATTAATGTGGACATGCGGTGTACACTAAACTTGAAGTGTTTCCACAATTTAATTATTTTCAATTGATCAATTACTCTAGAAATAAACGACATTCCATATTTAAAGAAGATACTACTACTTAGTAGGGCCCATTCAGAACACTTTGTTTTTTTAACATTTTACCCCTGTTTTTAACGTATCACTAAAAAAAGTTAAAATTTTATGGAATCTATCTAGTTTTTAAATTCTTCACTTTTAACAACTAGAACTAAAAAAATGTGATAATGTCTAATGATGTATTGATTTTTCACAAAAAATAAATAAATAAAAAAAAATTCACAAAACGGAACCTAACTTTTGAAAGCGTCTGAATCTAGTAGGTCTGCATCATCGGATTTACGTATTCATTAAATTGTCTATTAATTAATTAAATTGTTACCGAATTACACTCAAGATTTTTTTTTACGAAGAAAACTTGACATTTTTAATTCGAGTTTTGTTTCCTTTAGGCATTTTAACTAATTTTTTCGTTAAATTGCCAGAAAACAAAATCCTCATCAAAATGTCAAGTTTACTTCAAAAAAAAGCTCTCGTGTGAAATGAAGTGAAAAAAATTCCGGTATTTTTGTAATTTTTAGGTTGGCTATCGGGCATGTTACCGCCCAAGAGAAGCAATATTATTACTCCTCATGAGATTTAATAATGTGTTTCCCACCCTTTAAAAGGTTACCTAGTAATCGGCATATTACATTAGTGATTGTGAATATTATTTATTATTAAATATAATATATTATCATTTATTGTTATTTATTCACAATCACTAATGTAATATGCCGATTACTAACCTTTTAAAGGTTGGGAAACACATCATTATATCTCATGAGGAGTAATAATATATTACTTCTCTTGGGCGGTAATATGCAGGTTTGCCAATGTTAAGATTACAAAAATTGTCAAGTTACGCATAATATTTTGCTAAATTAGTGTTCAATTGTTTCTGTAGCAGTTTCTCTTACTTCTGGGGGAGTACAGTGCTCCATTTCAACGATTTTAAATCAGATTTACACATTAGTTCAATATTTTCTTTAACATTCCTAAAATGTTAGGACATTGAACAAATATCGTAAACAAGAGTAAAAATTAATTTCAATTTCAATTAATAAGTATGTACCTATTTTACTTATATATAATTTACTAAATTACTGTGGTGATATAAATTTTGTATTTTGCACATTAAAAAAAATAATGATATCTAAACATAAACATGAGGAAAACTAAAATGGTTTTGCCAGGTTATTTTTGAATCAAATTATCAATTTGTTTATAGTGCAAAACACAAGGCCAATGCCAATGCAATGTCAAGATCGCAAACGAAATTGTATATCAAATTTTTCTTTTATGTTAATATTTACGTTATTTTATTTAGAACTTCTAGAAATGTATCTATTTTTTATCATATTGTAGTTCGTAAACAAAGCTTTCAAGTTTCATATTATAAATTATAATAAGCAGGTGCCACTTTGCTAACTTATTGCTAATAAGTTACCATACCCATTTTTCACATATTTATTAAGATTAGGAGTCTTGCAAAAATCATTTGTAATCACTTGTCAACAACTTAGTGAAATTATGATAAAAGAATAAATTTTCCATGAAAAAAAGACTTTAATAATCTCTGCGGGGGGTTACGCATTTAATAAAATTTTACACTTTGCAGAAATTAATCTAATCGAAACTTCACGTGAATGAAAATGATATTTGATATTTACAAACACGACCATGTGAAAAAGACATGAACACTTAAAACAACCAATAGCAACCCAGCATTAGTCAAGCCAAACGCCCAGTCGGGGAAGTTATTCTCGCCAGCGTTCCCCATAAATACATTTCCAGTGACATTTGGTTCGTAGACTGCGAAATCGACGCAACTGACGCTAGACGCCCAAAGTGTTATATAGTTTCTGAAAATACTATTTATTACATTGTGAGTTTGTATAAAGTTGTGTTTATTTTTCTGAAGCTAAGTTTTTATTTAAACTAGAGGTAAGTTTTTACACAGATGACTCAATCAATCATGTATTGGATATTTTTGTGCTCATAGTGCTCTTCCATTTTTTTCTTTTTTTTATCAATTTAGTTGTAAATTGATCGAATATGTCAATGTTAACAAAATCAAAAAAAAAATCACTTAAAATAAAAAAATAGAAAGGAAATATGTACCTACTTAAATTGGTACACGCATTTCACCTTGAATTTTTTTCTCATTCTTGATCTGCACGTGGAAAGTGTTAAAATAGCCTTGTGTAAACTGTTAACGGTACCTATACCTACTCTATATTCTCGAATCTTCCATTTTTGTATCCCCAAGCATCATCCACTTTCGTTCCATGCTTTCTCTCATATTATTTTTTAACTCTTTCTTTACTATCACAAATAATCCTTAAACTAACAACGTTATATAGTTTAATCTTTTGCAATTCAAAGTCAACCGGTATTAAAGTCTAGACTCTCGAGTACAGTTAATACTTAGGACTGTTATTATCATTAGTCAAATCTCAGTCAAAGTTCAACTGGATGGAATTTTATTGTGACTCCCCGAAAAATTCTAAACAGTTTTTATTTTAGATTTAGATCTGCTCTTACTCTTAGCTTTGTTGGAATGTTACCTGGGTAGAGACTCAGGTAGAACACTAAAAAATTCGTTTCAAGGGGATCTTGAATCCTAATTTTAACGTTACATAACGTTGACATTTATTACACCAGGATTGTAAATAATAAAAAAAACTACTTTAATATTGCAAAATGCAATCTGAGGGACCTGATTAAGTCAGTTGTACCTAATTTACGAAAAAAAAAGCTTTATTTTTTATTCTTCATTCAGTTTCAGTAATAATCATTAAGTTATTTAATTTTGATTTAAAATAAATAATATCAAAATCAAATGATACGAGAGAGAGCTTACTTTTACACTCATAGCAAACACTCCAATAATAAATTTCTATGACTTACCACAGAGTTCAATTCTTATTTTGTGAGGATTGGCATAGAATTACAACTTTAATTAGGTATGTTAAGACATACATGGAACAACTACAAAAATATTTAAACACCTTTCTTTTTATGAAGGATCACTGATGTAGATTTTACTTTTTTTTTTAGATAAGCAGACAAACTATAATAAATTAAAACGAATTTATAAGATATTATACATAAATACTCCGGAAATCCTCCAAGCGGAACGATATTTTTTATGTGCCTGACTATCCTAATTAAATTTTTTTTTAAGTTATTCTGAAAGCATGTTTTTAGAGGTTTATCAAAATATTTGCAAATATCAATCTAATTAACTTTGTTGATAACCAGGAGAATGTTGTTTTTAATTATGATTATTGTTTGTTAAAACTATACAGAAAACCAATAAAAAAATAACCTCGATAAAAATATTCTCTTCTACACTTTCTGATTCCATGTGTGTAGGTATTTGTAACGGTACCAATAAGTTATTCAAGAATAAAAGGTCATTCAACCCAACAGGATTAAACTTTTTTGATGTTTTCTTCAAATTGTTATTTTGCAAGCTATTTAATTAGTTATTTGATAACTAGGTCTTTATATCAATCAACAAAATATTTTTTTTTAAATCTGCAACGATATTTATTTATCTACTGTAATTTGTTTTTAAACACTGGCAGGCAATACGAAAATAAATTTTTGCGATTTGCTCTATTTTTCTCGGAACAATTTAATCCCAGACCCATTATCAATCATACATCATGAACACCAGATATCCAAGCATAAAGCAAATTTCATTTTAATCAGATCAGAATGCAGAATCAATAAATTGATAACCTTCTAATAAACGCAGCCACTCCTCGTAAACAATTCCACATCAATTCTCATCAACTTCCTACTTCCAACAATTAAACCAGACCTAAGTCGCCACTCAATGAAACGTACTTGACAAACATTCGACCTCAGACAAATTCAATTAAAGGTCGGCTATTTACGTAATGTCTGCATTGCAGCAAGATGATGTCTCCATCGAGCGCACAAGAAGACGCCAAATTAGACGCCATGCAACGCTCTTGGCAATCAAAAAGAAGCCGATCTTCGAGTCTTTTCGAAGACTTGACTTCCGAATCTCAACTGTTAGCAATGCCCCAGGTAATTTTTCTTATTCAATTTATATACAAATAAGGTGAAAGTAATAATTTTACAGGCATCGTGCAGCCCCAGCACCAAATCGCTTTTCTCAACCATCCAATCCAAAGGAAAGGAGGAAGATGCCGAGGTTTATTCCTTACAGGTGAGTTTAATTACGGGAAAAGAGCCAAATGCGTAATTGTACCCAAAATAGTTGACATTCGTATCCTGTGACTTTGTACCTCAATTTGGGGCAAAAATAGGCCCATGTGCATATGTTTAGACACTTATGTAAGCAACAGTTGTTTACATGACCAACTTTTATCGCATATATCAACTGCATAATTAAAAGCTTCAGTGAAATAATAATTTTTTCGTGTTTTTCTAAAAAAAATGAATTGAATTCCAAGGCAATTCTTGACGAATTTGCCGACGTTTTGTTTTTAAGTTGTAAAAATGCACGTGTTATAAATAAGATGTGACCTAGCCAAATTTTTATTTATAGGAGCAAGTTGTTCCTGAAATATTGGAACAAGTCGAACAACAACCGTCATGTACTGTCTTGGATGCGTCCACAGTCGGGGACTTCCCCGCTGTATATACCGTGTGTTCCCTAGAACGGCATCAAATGCCTGCAGTTGGGGTCTTCGTTGACAAACGCATCGTCCCTGGTTTCAAATACCGCGTGCGGCCTTTGCCCCAAATCGGTCAAGACCCCACAATGAACAAGTGTCTCTTCAATGACTCTGCCCTAACATTGAAAAGCATCGGTCGTGGTTATGCTCGAAGATTCACCTTTGAAGCCACTGACAGTCTCAACAACAACGAAAACTACTTCTGGAGCGACAACCGTCCCGAAGGTTACGCTTTCGAATTGGAGGTCATCTCCGAAGGCGACAAATTCACCATTTTCGACATGAACAAAGAAGCTCAGGGCATCGTGGAAGTGCTACAGTTAGAAGTGAGTATGCGACTTTTTTTCACTTTTTCCTTGATTTGTTTTCGCAATTTGCGCCATTTCCCTTGCATTATTTTGTTAGAAACATCCAGCAAGACTCCGGAGCCATCTCATACGTTCACACACTTAAGCAGAACCGGGCGTAAGTCTTTCATGCGACGAATGACTCGTACGGGAATGTTTTCTTATGATGCTCACTCTTTCAGGGACCTCAATTTGAAATTAGTAATGTTTACAGCAGGCAAAATATCGAAAAAAGGGCCAATGTTAGGTTCACGGGTAAGGTAGAGTTTTACGAGACCGGTGTGGCCAAACCGATGCCCCTGAGCGGACTTGCGGTGGCTGTCAAGTACAAGCACAAGGGGGCTGCCGAGATTGTTAAAGTCCAAAATGTCGTTATAAACAAACAAAGGTACACATTATTCCCAGGCATTCAAAAGATACACAGGAGGGTCACGGTGAGGGGTCGCGACATTAACGATGTGCCCACGCAGTACTCCATGCATGGATTGGAGCCCTACGAACTCCCCGTTGTCGGTAAGTAGATCAAACGTCCCGAAACTTCAAACAATAATAATTTCCCGCCTTCAGGTACTTATGTCGATCCTCGAGTCATCCCGGGATTCTACTACAAAGTCAGACCAAGCGACAGGAAAGAACACTTGTTTGGTGGGCGCGCTTTGAAACTCTTAAGTATTGGAATGGGATATGCCAAACGGTTGACTTTCGAGCCCGATTCATTGCTCACCCCTGATAACTATCTATGGTCTGATAACCATCCAGATGGTCTGGGTCTGGAAATCAGGGCTGTTCACAAAGACATGAAATTTATAATCAAAGCTAGGGACCAAATTCTCGGAGAAGCTTCGGTTTTTAGAGCTGACAAGCCACAAATTGAGGAAAAAATGGAGAAAGTAAGTCTCAAAGATATCAAGTGACTCCATTTATTATTCTCATTTTCGTTTCACAGATTAAGACGCAATCTGGCAAATATGCTATAGAGAAATATGTTCATATTGACGTCATGTGCCACATTGCCATTGCCATCCCCGGTGGTGGTTGTGTTGAAAACACTGAGACCTTGATGCGCGTTTACGGATTGGCTGTAGTGCGAAAAGAGCCCAATAGGAATGAAGCTCACGTGATTAGGGTGGAGAATGTCGGTTTGGATTCGCAACTAAACGTTTTGTTTGCACAAACTCACACCGAACTGACATTCTACCCTAAAAAATAAATCTCTTTTACTGACTTAACGCTGCACTCCATGTAGTTTCAATGTGATTTCTTAGGATAGTGTTAAGTTATTTTTTATTTGACTACTTAATGTACAATTATCAATAAATGATTTTGCAATAAATATTGATTCACTTTTTGTACTGTCTTATAGTGGATGAAAGAAAATTCCTTTTAATTCAGTATCACATAATTTTTTGATTTCTTCTGCAAAAATTAATCAAATTAATGAAAAACAAGAGGGAACAAATGCTTACCGCTTATGTCAATAAGGCTTGCGTTTTTCTGTTGCAAAGCCACGTAAAATTCCCTAGAATTCGAGTTCTTTGCAACAACCCAATAGTCGTTCATTGTTTTGACTATAGTTTCGCTTGAGTGGCCCAATAGTGATTTTTTGTTATTCAAGTCGGCCATTATTTTTAAAGATTCTTTGGTACACGCAATGTTTCCGGTTTGTTTATTATCCAAATGAGCCGTGCTTTTGTAAGCTAAATTTAACTTATTAAAATAGATAAACCTTGGAGCGTTTTCTGGGACATTTGATGGTGTAATCACTTGTTTAGAACAATATTCAGAAATATCTGACACGACTGCAGTCAATTTAGGACTAATGAACCCATCCATGTCTTTGAAATATTGTAAACTTAATTCCTTGTCAGCTACAATAAACTTTTTTAAAAAGAATAAAACCAAAGGAAAGAAATGAACCTTTCATGAATAAACAAATGGACGCACTTAGCGCCCTGTACACTACCAAGTTATACGATTCGGCCTTCCCCGAGGCAAATAAATAAACTTTGGGTATTTTTCCGACACTTTTGGCCGTCTTTAAATTTGTAGGCCCGGTAATGAACCGACCGTGATGCAGCGCTGCGAATGGTGAGGCAGAATTTCGTGGCATTGACCCCCCTTGTAGTTCAGCTTCCATGTTGGCGGGAAGTAAAGTACCGATTAAATATTGATAAACAATTTTCATGTCTTTGGGCTCAAAACCGCTCCTTAAATAATTTGCTTGCTTAAAAAGTAATCAGTTTTCATTTCTTGTAGTTACCATATTAGATGATCGTTATATAGGAAAGCTGTGTACTCAATTTCAGGATACTCGCATTCTAGCGAATTGATAAAACACTGTACTTTTAGAAAAGTTAATTTGTCAAGAGGTAAATACTGAATTCCATGAAACACATTTAGAATATCAGCATGTCCTAGTTTCAGAGTTTTGAGGTACTGTGAGAAAGAAATTAAAATTGTCGAACGCGATATAATTAACTTACAGCTTTATAAAAATTTTCAAGTCTTGTTTTAAGTGTGCCTACATCATGGTTCTCAACAGTGTGTTCAAATGTGTCCCAAAAAAGTCTGTATGTGTAATAAGCTTGCTTTAAGACAGCTTCATAAACATTGTCTTGAACATCATCCTCTAGGTATTCTATTTGATTTGAACTGTCTTTTCCTTTCACCTCAGTTGGTAAAGTTAATGTCTACAATATTTTCTATTATAAAATATTGATAAACGAGTTCTAAATACCATCACAATCCACATATTTTTTTCTGGTTGGAAATACAACTGTCGCATTTTTTGTGTATGTAATGAGTTCACTGGAGTACTCGGCTTAAAAGTGCTACAAGAACTCTTACAGTTTTTTTATATTTAGCTCAGTATACACTTTACCCTGTAAACTGGATGATCCCCTCAACTAACCCCACATTCTTTATTTGTACATCAGCATTGTCAGTTATTGGATAATAATAGAGAATTTTTTTCAGTTCCTGAAAAAGTTTGTGATTGAGTTACTTCTAAAAGGGGCATACAGTGGGGTATACGCACCTCCCCTTCCTTGGGACCATATAAGGAATTGAAAATAAAAAAGTTTTTTAATTCGACATCTTTTTTCATACTCATAATTCTGGTTAAAAGTACTAAGCTTATTTTAAATAAGCTTTTATAAAAACAAACTTTTTATGTTATACCTTTTTTTAGGTTATGTTATGACATATAGTATCCATATTATTCATTCACCATACCACACTTGGAACATTAAAAACAATTATTTAAAACTTGACATTAATAAAATATTTATTTTTTATATTATTTTTTGTAAATAGAGCATTTTGCCTTGCATGTGTAGTTTTTTATGTTTCAAAAAAAATTAAATTGTTCGGGTTTAACTTATTTCGGGAAATTGCAATTTGCAACGCATAATTAATTGACAAGAGTTTGACTTATAATTCGGCGCCAAAAAAGTCTAATTCTTTAGAGGTTATTCTTTATTCGCATTTTTTCTTTTTCATTTAAAGTGTAAAAATGGATTTCTTAAAGTGTAACCCCAATCAGTGGTACTTAAACGAAACAAAATATTTAGAATTATTACAAAATGAAGAGATCTGGAATCAGGTTAGAAAATGTTAGAATTTTGCAATTTTCCAACAACTTTTACATTATCAGATTCCATTATTAAATGCCAACGAGCTTCACGACCTCCAGGATTGGCAATTAGTTCGGTTTCGGGGCATGATTCAGGACATGCATGGCCCCGAACTCTACTTAGAAAAATTCACGGTTAGAAACACTGAAACTGCGGAAACTACGATTAAATTTGGCAAATACGTTGATGCTGCAGATTGTAAGGTGAGATTATTTTTGTAAGTTATGCAAAAGCTAAATGCAAAATATGTCTTGACAGCCTAATGAAACTATTGAAGAGTGTCCCTCAACAATTCCAAGTGAACGACATGTTTATGTCGCTGTTTCAATCCCTGGTATTAATCCATGGGTTCACAAAGTGAGTATTTTTGTAATTGAAAGCGTTGTGTAACCAAAAAATATTAGCTTGAGGAGGACAAGTACAAACTACCGTCTTCAAATCCTTCAACTTCAATGCAAAATAACTTAAAACGACCTGTTCAAGAAATGGAAGTCACTAGTGCAAAGTTATCAAACGCTGAACCACTAGACTCTAATAAGCGATCATGTACTCACCCACCACGACCTGAAGAAACAACGCCTTTTGTGTCTCAAGAGTATCTGTTAAATTTCCCAATTCCAAATCCCTCTGGTAAAGTTTGCCGGTTGAAAATATACAAAGATACGGACAAGATTAAATTGAATTCAGTTTTTGAATTTGTGGGCTTTTTGTCCCTCAATCCTATTTTGGGCACAAATAACGATGATGATATGAATGGCCTGGAGTCTCAAATTCATAATCCTCCTTCAAGTTTAATTCCCAGAATTCATTGTGTGACATTCAAATCATTGAGCCACAACAATCCATTAGTTACGCAAGAAAAACTGAGTCCTGATAAAATGCAGGTCATTAGAAAAGAACTTTTGATTCTATTAACGCAGTTAATGTGTGGAGATGAATTGGCAGCCGAGTATTTAATTTACCATTTTATTTCTCAAGTGTAAGAAAATCGGATATTTAGTTCTGTTGTTTTTTTACTTACATTCACTTTTAGTTACTTGCGAAAAGATTTTATGGCACTTGGAAAATTTTCTTTAAATATTTCCAACGTCCCAATGCTTGAAAATATTGATTACGTCCAAGAACTGTATAAGTTTATAGAGTTACTCACTACCAAAAGTCATTATTTACCAATGTTGCTCGAATACATGAATGAACTCAATTTTGTTCCAAAGTAAGTCCATTTGTATCTAATAATTTTTTCTTAAAATTTGTTTTTTTTTTAAGAAAAGATTACAATGCCGATCGTTTAACAAGCAGTGTTTTGCAATTAAGCGATAATACTCATTTGGTGTTAGATGAGACGAAACTAACTCCCGGGAAACTAAACCAAAGCGGAGTTACGGGAGTTCGCGCTCTTTCGAACACCATCAAGAACCAAAAAATAATGTACGATTTCACTTACTATCAACTCGAGTATGATTGCGACATTCCGTTTCTCGTATTATCTGAAGGCAAATCAATGCTACCGGTGTGTACTCACCTTTTTTTACGAACAGTTTTAAAAAATATATTGTAGAGTGATGTTCACGTAATTCTTGCACCAGAAACGACGCATTTAAGGACTTTTAGTGAGATTCTCGGAGCAGCAAGGCATTTTCTTAAACCTGAGTTGCTAGATGATATTCGACTTTATTTGACCAGTGCCAGATTGACTCAATATGACTTGTCAGATAATGTGTTAGAGGTAAATTGAACCTGTTTTTTTTTTTCACTTTTAACAATTAATTTTTTAGATGGTTCAAAATAAATTTGTTGAAATGAGACAATCGGGCCACGTCACGGGAGACGATCTTCATAGTCTCCTTGTTTTGGCTAGACTTGTATGCATTTCTCAAGGAAAAAACACCTTGGATGAAGGATGCTGGAAAAAAGCTTGTGCCTTGGAAGAAGCTCGGAAAGAAAGAATAAAATATCGCAGTTCTTAGGTTTCTATGTATTATATTTTTTACGAGACAACTTATTAAACTATTTAATTATTAACTTATTAAATTATTAAGACAACTAAAACACTACGGATATATAGGGTACATTTGCTTTTTCTAATGTTTGACTTCAAATGCTTGTATAATTTCCCTTCAATAATATTGCCACCAGCAACATTACGAAGTTTAAATTCTATTGTGAAGACTTTCAAAGTCTTGCAAGACTCCAATGACTTGGTTTTGCGCCTTTTTCAAATTTTGTATCCTTTCCGTTTCCTTCTGCAACATAGCCAGTCCTCTTTTTACGACGTTATTGTAACGTTGAGACAGCGACTCTTCGTTCCCTTTGACCCGGGGAATGTGTCCCGTGTATCCGGCGATTGGCGGGTAATCCGGAGAAATTTTATGATCTGCGAAATTCAATAAAAAAAATTTCACCTCGAATATTTACCTTGGAATTTGTGTTTTTCGACGTATTCATTCATAGCACGCTTAACTTCGTCCTTACTTCTAATGGGATTCAATCGGGGCACACTTTGGGCCCGAAACATTTTCTCAATTTCTTGTTCAGCCATTTGGATCCTCCTGTGTTTGTTGGTGTCGTAGTCGTAAATACAGTCATCGGCGGTTTGTCCGTATGACTTTCCATAGCGAAAGTTCATAGTGGGAATAAATCCTGTTTTTCGATTAAATTAACGAAAATAAAAATGTGTAATTACGTGCCTGTGTAACCGGTGATGTAACGAGGCGCTCTACGTTTAAAATTATCAGCGTAATCTTTAAACTGCCCTTTTATCTTAACGATCGGTTTTAAAATGGAGGTTTTATAGTCCTGCGAGCGATAATTTTCTTTTTGTTCCTCTTCAAAACTTCGTTTTGTGCGGATGTCCTAAAAATGGTTTTCAGTCTATTTATTTTGTTGGGTCGAAGGACAAACAAGGTTATTAAAATAAATTATTTCAGAGACCAATTGGTAAACACATTGTTATTGTTACTCCCTCGATCGTAATAGAATTTACGTAGCTCGGGGCTATTTGTTTTAGCACTTGTTTCGGTGGGTGATACTGAGTCATAATTTATGTGTAACAAACAAATTAAAAAAAATTCTATAGCGTGTGTGGGCATACTCACCTTGTAAATTTCTTGGGTTTCAGCTCCATAACAACGTCCGTAATGAAATTTGAGCGTTGGGCAGTGTCCTGTATACCTGTAATTAAATCACAATCAGGCTCAACTCCCCTAAGCTAATAACATCCCCCCTCCAATTCCGGTTATCAATAATGGAAGCCTGAAATATATCCTGAAAGCTACAGTACCAGGATGTTCCTGGTACGCACCCAATTCCTGAAAATTTCCACTTTCCACGCCTGCAAGCGATTAGATGTAGAATAAGCGTGTTAAATGTTATCTTCCATCGCATTGTAATCAAACGCGGTACATGTTTAGTTGAAAAAAATAATAATTAAAATATCTGGCTTATAACAATTTTGCGAATTAAAAACGGTTATTTTATTGCCGCTGTTGAATGCGTATTTAAGAGATGGTTGACTTAATGTCGAATCATCGTGGATCGATTCGGTCTAAATAGTCGGAAAGAAAGAAGCGTTCGTTGCCGTTCTTTAGTCAATAAAATAGATCGAGATGAAAGTATTGGCTTATCTGAATTGAAATCGGTGGGTAATGGCCCGAAACAGCTGTTGTCACATATATATTCGTGAAATAAATGTTCGACGACCTTAGAATGGCCTTTATTATTATTCGTATGACCCGCCAGAATTTATCTATTGCCAAGTTGGTGTTACCAAATTTTAGTAATAGTGATCCACAATGACTGAATCTGTTGGCAATCCTGACTCTAATTTTTAAAGCTTACCATTGGAGTGCGGTTTTGATAAACAACAATTCAACAATCTTTAGGGGTTGTACGTCAAGTATTTGTCAAGCAAAACCGTATCCGGTTGCAGTGTTTGAAATTATTAACAAAAATACATTCAAATCTGTTACCAACAGACTCAGTCTTTCTGGATCACTTCGTATATAAAAATTACCAACGTTAACTAACATCCGCATCTAGGGAAAAGTCAAACATAAGTCAAATGTCAATTGAAAAATCGTTTGAAGGAACACCACAGGTCTTTTGAGTATTTTTTCTTAATTTTATGTCTTCTATTAAATGTGCCACCTACCAAATTGTCAATCATTGTTTTTGTCACGACTACTTACTTACCTTTCCCCACCATGCGTGTTTACAAATCAGTGCAGTGCGAGTATTAAGTGCGCTGTTACTTAAATGAAAAAGCATTAAAGTGCAAGATTATTAATTACCCGGGGATGAAGCCGTCATTGTTTTGCGACAAGAAACCCTGTCGCTCTTCTTCACTTAATAAGCTGGAAAACATGCTGTTGCACTGAATGAGTGAACTTTAACATTCGGGAGCGCACGAAAAGTGGATACTGGATACAATGAAAGCTTTTCACGTGCAGCAGGAAACTAGAAACAATCGCACAACAATAATACTACGAACGTGGTGGTCGATTCTGCGCTGCACCTTGTTTTCAAATACAAGATCTCAAAAGAGGAAAGAGGCGAATGCATTTTTAGTGGGACAGTTAAGTACTGTCTATTACTTTCGTTTTGTTCTTGAATTTCTTAAATTGAAAAGTACTGAAGCTATTTGAAATGAAAGATCGTAAATGAAAGATTCTAAAATTCGATTGTTTATTGATGGAATCTTATAAAATATGCACGCTATGATGTGTTAGCTCTATTTTTATTTTAAGTTCATTAAAATGAAATAATCTCTACTAAATCTTATATCTTATATTATATTTTTTAAAACGTTAATTATCATTGGCATTTCACTGAATTTTTGTTTTGTCGTACTTGTTTATTATTTAAGTGTATTGTAGGTTGCGTCTGTGACGGTGTTGTGTTACTAGCGTTATATCGACAAACGATTTATCAAAGTTTACAACATTTTTTTTCAAAGTCCAGTATTATTACTATTAATAATTATTATTATTACCTTTAATAATAAAAGGTATCATTTCGGCCTCTCTCCAAACGTTTTAATTTTGCAGCTACACTTTGACTAGAAATTTATTTATTTATTTATACAATTTATTCCAAATTTAGTATCATACGATACGATAGGTACTTTTAGAAAAAATATTAAACTGAATAAAAATTGTAATATTTAAATTTTGGTGTTTTTGGGTTAAGCCGCGTTGCTTTAGGACGTTTCGTCCACTGTTGTAAGGGGCATCTTCAGGACAGCACAGGAGAAAAAGAAAGAAGAAATATTTCACAGTAACTCAACGTGTTAACCACGCCAGAGGTGAAACTAAATTTGCTTTAAATACTTATTGTGTCTTGGTACTTAAAGATTGTTTTTTTTGAAAATTAACAATAATTATAGCACATATTTATTAACATTTTTTATAACACAAAATCTTACTTTTCTGTGTCAGTTTTTAGCATTTTACCTATGTGTGTTCTCTAATATTTTGTGTTCTTTTTTATTTTTTAATACTTTAGATGGAAATACAAATTATTTCTATTACGAAATTGCTATAATTACCTACTATAAAAGTGAATTTTTTTCCCCTGTAAAAATTCAAGCTTCACATTAATCTTTGAATAATATTATGAATGTCCAAGTTGTGGTTTGAAAGTCAATGATGAAGAAAATGAGTTCCAATACTCTTTAAATTCAAAATTAGTTTTGGTTATTTGTGAGTTTAAATTCTGTACAAAGCAATTCTGCATTTCGTCTTTTCGCTTAGAAACAAATTAATTGTGAAAGTATGCAAATAATTATTATACTCTCTGGTTTTTTGTGTTGCCTAAAAGTAGTAAGGATCGGAATCCACGTATTCCTCGTCCTTTATGTATCGCCTATTGGCTATCTATGTGCCAATGTCCACTTATAAGTTATAACAAAAATTCTTTTTTTGAATACGCTCCCGAAAACATCTGTTTGAGTCCCTAAAATGAGTCTTTTCCGGACTCAATAAAATAGTACGCAAAACGATTATTTTAGGTACTTAGTCCCCAAAAACAGTTTTTGCGGACTAAAAAATAAAATTGGTCACGAAATTTTTTTAATTAGTAAGAGAATTCGTCTTTTGGGAGCTTTAACAAAAAAATCTTGTATGCACCACGTGTACGCAAAAGGTTTTAGGTGACTCCTCTCATTAAAGACTCGGCTCCTACGTCGCCTCGTCATTAATTACCATTCGTCCCCTAAATTCCTACTTTGCGTACTTGATACATAAATAGCTATTCTTTACACAGAAATCGAATTATTGTTTCATCTATTGGTGTTTTTTTTCCAAAGCACTCTTCTCAAAAACGCTTTTTCGTAATTTTGATCAGCATATAACGATGACAGATTTAGTTTTCTTGTAAAAAAATACCTTAGTCCTAGTTAAAAAAGGCTAGGTCTTTTAGTTTTCTCTTGAAAAAATAAAAACGAAAATAACAAATTTCCGTTTTTTTCCAATAATTCAAAAACAAAAAATGACATATTAAATTTTCTTTCAGATAATTGTTCAGCATAAAAAGCGCAACTTTGTCCTAATTTAACCGACCTCATGTCTCTTATAATAACTGAGATCTCCATGGTGAAGCTCGAAAAACGGACACCCTGTATACGAATAAATCTCATAAAACCATATTCATTTTCCATCCCCGTTATTCTTAAAAAATGTAGATATTTAAATAAAGAGATGTGTTTGTATCAATACTGTTTATATCAAATTTAGTTTTTTTTTTGTAATCTAAAGACAGAAACTTTCGTTTATAGGTAATAATTACATCTGTGATATACTGGTTTTAGACGAGAAATACAAGGAAATCCACAAAAAAAAGAAAAAAAAGTTTATATTCAACGTTGAAAACGGGATATAAGCAAGTTTTACACACCAGGGGAAATTTTTAAAGGTAATTTACTGTTTGATTTTTTTTGTTTTTCATCGTCATTTGCTAATAACTCGTTTTTTTTAATGACAAAGCCTATCAATCCAGTAATTTTTGAATAGGACTTTTTTAGGAATCCTAAAGGATTAAACTGATGATTGATGAAATATCGCATTATTTAAGAAACTCTTTTTAGGGAAAATTTGTTAAGCGGTCATTTTGAAACAATTGGTTGAATACGGACAATCGATATTTTTACAAAATGTAAATCTTTAATTGTCAATTTGTGATGTGTGTACTTGTGTACACCTAATTACGTAGAAGTGCATTTTGATATGAATATAAAAAATGTCTTTAAGTATAATATTAAAAACAAGACATTAATAATACCTACGACAATTATTTCGTGTTTGAATAATACAAAACACTTTCTTCTTGTTTTTAGTAGACGTCATCCTTTGGAGAACTTTTGAAATGTTAAATTAAGATTTTCTTTACACAAAATGTTGAACAAATATTGTTTGAATATTGATCTAATTCGTGAAACGTTGGAGTAGTTATTAGATGATATCCTTGAAGGAGTGCTGAATTTAAATACCGCAACTTAAAATGAAAAAACTAATTTGAAATTTATTATACTAAACAAAATGGTGCAATTTTTATTAAAAGCTATGCTTAATTTATAAATAATTTATACACTTACTTACATCAATTTAGTTTACTTTTTAATTAACTAACCTGGTGACCTTAGGAGGTATTAATTTTCGGTATCAAAATGCAATAATTCAAGGTCTACCTATCATCAATTACACTTTCGCCCTCATTTGTACATTTATTTAAGTACGCCAAAAAGCTAATTAAAAAAATAATTAAAGTAATGTCAAATAATGATAATGCTCTCCCATAAAACATGTTTTTATTATTAAGTCAAGGTTTTTGTTATAAAAATTCAAGTTTACACAACTCAACAACATAATTATTACCTAATTTTCTTTATGTCTTTTTTTTTCAAATTTTACAATCTAACAAAAATAAAACTTACTGGAAACATAAAGGAATTACTTTATGCGCAATAAATTCCCATTTAGTCAATTTCAAGTTTTTTAAATGTTCCATCAACACCAAATCCCTCATTTACGAATTTGGATTTACTAATCCTTCTCGATTCGTCCACTTTTTGCTGATCGTGCCATTTATAGAAGTCAAAGTGATCAAAAACGTTGCTTACTGTCTCTTCTGTTGAAAATAAAAATTGAAACTCGTTTAAATTCAGCACTGAAAAAAATCTTACCATTCAAGGTTTGCATTGAGGAAAGCTGGCCCCCGTATTCTTCCGGTAAACATTCTTTAGGTACATGTTTATACAAGGTTTCGGATCCTGGAGGATGGAATTGGATCTTAAAAAATTAAGCAATTACAAAAACAAGATCATATTACACATTAACAGTACCATATTGTACAGATCACCTTTTATAAAGGGTTTCAACATGGCTAAAATTTTATCAGCTAGCGGAAGGGCATTTATAACATGCACTCCTTTTATCCTAACTGGTAGGCCATCCTGAAACAAATCATTACACAAATATCCGAAAAAATATTTAAAATTGTGTACTTGAATGAAATTTAATGCATGTTTGATAACATTTAAATTTAATCTAGTTGCATGTCCCAAGCCAAAACCCTTCATATCGAAAATTGCAACAGCGCCGTTTTGGTAACCATTCTGATGCAGATACAAAGTCGCAATCATAATAATGTAATTGAGGAAAGTGGTGCAGTTGAAAACCTCAAGTTTTTCATCCAGAAGTCTCATCATTAAGACAGCATATCCTTCGGGAGTTTTTTTTGTGAGAACAGATGCAAACCTGTAAATCCCCGATAAATTTTTATTTATATTTTTTGTATATGAGTATACAAAGAATTGGAAATCCTTTTAAAAACTTCTCGATCTAAACCCTGGAATAACTCCGGACAAAGATTTCGAATTGTGAAATAATTATCAATGGTTAATTTGGCCGCTTCAATGCGATAGTAGCAACTATGAAGGGATATGATTATTTGCATTTCTAAAAATTACAAATTTGGAAAAACATAAATTGAATTTTAAAACTGACCTTCTACTGGCGGCAAATGGGGTTGTTTTTTGAGCCATTCTTGGATGATTTTGACATCTTCTCGCTTTATGTTAATATCTTTCGCGTATAATTTTTCGGGATCGATACAGGTGAGAGCCATCGTTGTTGTTAGTCGTAGGAACTACTTGAAACTGGACAAGAGAGTAAAATGTTCATCACCTTGAAGGATGAATAAAAAAAAATTGTGGTGGTTTGGTGATATCAAGTCGATCAGGTTTATATGCCGATAAAATTATCAATAAACACTTTGCCGTTTATCTTATAATTACTATCTTGTTTTTAAAAAAAAATTAAAAAAATTGTTAAAGATAATTGTGATTGATTGAAGTAAATACAAGTGAAGAGTAGAAAATGTCAAGTAATTTTTTATGGAGTTGCTAACAATAATAATTGATAAAAAAGTTGCATATTTTATTTCCCGCCTCCTTTTAAATTTAGGTATTTCAGAACATGATATTGGCACTGCTGGAAGTTTTTCTGTCAAACGTCAAGTGCAGGTTGTGTGATTTGTTATCTTTGTAGAATTCCGGCTTTAATGAATTAAAACCATGTCAATAAATTTAGATAAATACAGGGATGAGCTGGTGTCAGCTTGGAAAGATGTGCTTGATGCGAAAACATCAACCGATTGGTAATTAGATTTCCTAAATAATTTATGCGGTTTCCTTTAATGGTTGTCTCGGTTCCATTTTAGGGCTTTGTTTGCTTATGAGGGCCAAACCAACGTTTTAAAATTTGTCAGTAAGGGTTCCAACGGAATCGAGGAACTTACCGAAGACTTAAATAGCGGAAAAATAATGTACGCTTTTGTGAAAGTGAACGACCCGAAAACCTCTTTAATTAAGTATGTTTTAATCAATTGGCAAGGAGAAGGCGCCAATACGGTGCGTAAAGGCATATCCGCGAATCATTTACGCGACATTGAGAGATTTTTCACTGGGGCTCACTTAATAATCAACGCTCGTAACGAGGAAGAAGTTGAGCCTCAGCTCATCATTGATAAAGTCGCAAAATCAGGCTCGGCGTACAGTTTCAAAGCCCCCAGAGCCGAGATTATCGAACCTACAGGTCCCGTGGGGACCACTTATCAACGCGTCAATCCTATAAAAGAAATCAATGCCCGCGAAAGAGACCAGTTTTGGCGCAAAGAAGAGGAAGAAGAAAAGAAACGCGTTGAGGAAGAACGTAAACGGAGAGAGATGGAAAGAATGAAGAGCGAGGAAGAGTTAAGGAGTCGAGAATTAAAAGAGTCGGCTAAACGGGATGCGGAAATGTCCCTTAGGAATAACAACATTGATCAAATCAAACAAGCGGAAAAGGAGGCCGCGGTACAGGCGGTTTCCGTTTCTAACTACGACCAATCTGACGATTTTCCAACTAGAGTTAATCAAAGCGATGTTTTGCGAAAACAGAGAAATCAAGAGGCTCATGATTTAATAGCACAAAGGACGATTGACGCCCGGTCAGTCTTTGAACAGAATACAGCGGCCGGACAGAAAAAAGTGCCGGAAAAGCCTGTCAGAAATTCGATTTTGAAAGCACAAAATCAGTTGAGTGTGGAAAATAAATTGGAGGAGAGCGATGAGGAAGGAGACCAGTTTTCGACAATAAAGAGATCGCCAAGAGACGTGGAAAAGAAGAGTGTGACTAGTCCAACGCCACAAGAAGTCTATGAAGTCAGAAAAGAAGAACCACAAGAGCAGCGTGTGGAACAAATTACAGATCAGCAATTTGTTGATGAGTATCTCTATGAGTTTAGCACACCTGGATTGCAGGCTAGGGCGTTGTACGACTACCAAGCTGGTAAGACGATTTCAATTAATTGTTACACATTCTCTCAGCTTTTTATGTATTTTTTAGTTGATGATACTGAGATTAGTTTTGACCCAGGCGACATAATAACAAATATAGACCAGGTGGATAAGGGATGGTGGCAAGGATTAGCCCCCAATGGTACTTATGGCCTTTTTCCCGCTAATTATGTTGAATTGATTCAATAATTTTTATTTTGTTTTTTTTTACCGTCGCTTCGCTTATTCCATTGCTCATAACGCATTTATTTCATATTTTTCAAGCGCAATATTTTGTCGATAATAGGTTAAGTATACAATAAATACCAAAATTTTGTTTTTAAGGATTAACACACCGTTTGTGATTACTATTGTGCAATAAAAAATAGTTACAAATTTTGAAGCGCCAAGTATTATTTACTGTATTGTTTTAATAAATAACGAATGGTGTGTTTGATTTATTCTATATTTTTTTATTTTTAAAGCTTTTTCGCTTTTTATTTTTTGTAATTCCTAATTTGCCACACTGCCAGTTCGGGTATACTCTGTGCCAACTTCATCAAAATTAAAACCCCATGTTAATTTGTTAAAATCTGTATTTCAATGATTGTTATTATAAATTTTAATTAAAAACTCTATGGGACAGTTAACTGTTGATAAATAATTTTAAGATATCGTATGATATAATATATTTGCATCATAGCACAAATAATTACCAAGACTTATGATCATTTGCACTTCATAAATCTTTACTTTGTGATATGGTATATAACTAATGTAATCTTGTATGTATTTATGAACAATAAAAGCTACGTAATTTTTTACAATTATCTTTTTTTATTATTTTTTTTATTATCCCCCTCAGATTATGCTTATTATTAGTCATTAATTTAATATTCTTGATTTTGCTTGATATTTGAACTTAAAGCAGAGATAATTAATAAACAAATGTGCAGCAAAATAATTTATTTCAGATATGCACTCATCAATCACTCCAATTTGAAGCCAACAACAGCTTTGAAATTTCATTCATTTCCAGAGTTCAGTGGCACATAAAATTTGATGAATATATTAAAAGCGTATAAAATCTTATTGTTATTAATGAAATTTCGGTTATAATAATATTATTCATGAAATTTTGTAATATAAAAGCGTTACATTACCATTTAATGTCATTATTGGAAAATTACTTTCGGAAATATTTCCACTTCCGGAAATATAAATATTTGTTTGGCATGTCTGAACTAATGAAAGGAATTTGAAAATATTTTATTTCACCGAAGTAGTAAGAAGGCCCCTTTAGAACACTTTGTTTTCTTAAACATTTTGCTCTGGTTTTAAGGTATGTTTTAAAATTAAAATTTTTTCAAAGATTTTTTTGCCAAAAATAAGGAAAACTTGTTCACTTAAAATTAAATTTTGATTGAACAGTAAAAACAATTTTTTTCTAGTTTGAAATAAAAAACTGATAAAATAATATCAAGGGGGAACGTTCCCACTCGTTATTTCATCAATAAATCCCATAAATTCGAGCAAATGATTTGTAGAATTTTTAAAACTTGGTCATTTTTCTGAAGTGTATACCGTTTGGGCATACACCAAATTTTCCAACTCATATGATTCTTTTAAATAAATTTAATCTATTTTTGACATAAGTAGTTCTATAATTATGCTAATCCTCTATTATTACTATAACAGAGTAAAATCTTTAAAAAAAATGTTAATTTTAAAATATACCTTAAAACCAGAGCAAAATGATTAAGAAAACTAATTGTTCTATAGGGACCGAATAGTACAAACTTCAAAATAGGGTAAAATCATTGAAAAATGTTTATTTTTAAAATATACCTTAAAAACAAGGCAAAATGATTAAAAAAACAAAGTGTTCTAATGGGGCCTTCTTACTACTCACCGAAAAGAAATTTCTACTAGTCTAAGACAAAATGTTACAATGCGTTTTTAGTGAAATCGGCAAATTTGTTATTTGCAGGGGAGTTTCAATGTGTGGTCTAGATCTTATCACTCTTATCAGTAAATTGCCACTGTCTGATACGAAACAGTTTCGAGGGCAATTTATCGATTGAGCAAGTAGAATGTGCACCTTCATTTATTATTAAATTTGTCGGCTTGTTGCATTAGCAAAATCGGTCAAGATGACAATTAATATGAGGGACAAAGTGGTAGTGCATCTGAAACGCCGGTCAGTGAGTATCGCCGGAGTTGACCACCAACGCTATTTTGATTATGATTAAGTCACCATAGTTACGATAATTTTGGAATTGACAGCTCAGCAGCGGGGTACTTTTCGAGTATATTGATGACGAGCATTTTCCTCGTAAACTGTTACAGAACAAAGCCATAAAGTTGCTCGTTTCATGTATATTGTACTACATGTGCAATCGATTTCTTTATTATTTCCAGTTGAAACAGGCAACATTTTAAATTCGCAGACGAAAATGATGCACACTTTGAGAGATTATTAAAACTTCCTAATTGTGCAATTGTAGAACTGCCGCAAAACGAATGTAATTTACATTTTTTTGAATATTCCAACTCAGAATTAACTAAATTATGAGTTTTTTTTAACAAGAGGGATTCTTAGAATTGAAAGATCTTTTTACACACTGTAATTATAATCGAAATTTAACCTTTTTATTACTGTCGTAAAATTAATTTTAATTACAATAGTGCAAGTGCCTGATTTATGATCAATTGATCAAAATAATCACGATCAATATTTTAGGTGTGGAGGTCTAATCTGTTATAAGTCAATTAAATCGATAAGTTTTAGAGTGTATTTTGCGAAATTTATACTAATTCGGATACCACAGGTGCCAAATTATTTATGAATTAGGAAACTTGTCAAGGAGGCCGCTAAATTAGGCAAATTGAACTAAGTACTTTAAGATAACTAACCAAAATCTTTTGGAGATAATTGCAAAATATTGGTATAAGAAAATATACACAAAAAATGTGTGTATTTAGCTGTTTTTTTTTGAGTTTCACATCTATGAATAAATTTTGTTTAATAGCTATTAAGCCAACACTTGTATTGTCTTCAAAAAATTTTCCGACATTAACACATATTGGAACAGAAATTTTACTAAATTCAGAAAAAATTAGATTCCATAAAAAATATCGATTCTTTATTTATATTTTTTACAACAATTAATTAAATTAAAATGTGACTTTATCAAGTTGTTTTTTTAGGTTTCAAATTAGTAATAATTAATACATGTGTTTCCCAATTAGTCTGAAAATTTATGTTATTTAATTAAGAGAGGAATTTCAATAAAGTTGGCAACGTCACAACAGTGTGTTCAAATCCTCAGAGTTGACTGCTTTCGTAGAATTTTAAAACTGAACCAAATTAAGAATTATGCTGATGATAATTTTGTTTGTCGCCAAATTCTTAATGAACTTCTGGGAGATTTGAATTGTTTTGTGAATCTCAAATTTGTTTGCTCTGGAACAGAGGTGATAACAATGAAAGTTTACTCACTGAATTTGTCCAACACTCCTCAACAATTGCTTTAGATACCGTAAATTTGTTGAATGCGTAGAGCTCTCCGACCAAAAGCACATAAAGTCTTAATAAAGCACAGCGAACATAATACAGACTAAATAAAACTTGATTCCCGAGAGCAAAATAAAAAGTTATTTCTATAATAACGGTCTTTATGTATCTGGTAATGCTCGAGCTGTGGGTTCGACAATGTGTGAATATTTTTTGAGGCTTTAAACGCACATAAAAGTTCGGGTTTGTATATTATGGAAAATATGTCAAATCCTTTAGGGTGTTTTTTCTCGAGCACGAGTAAAATTCAAGTCGGCGCTCTGGAATAAGCACTGGTGATATTCTAGACAGCCGTTTTGTTTATCACGGCTTTAATTGAGTTTTTATTAAACAAACCTTGTGCTCGAGAGGCGGTCTTAAATATTTTTAGAACGTTAAAAACTTCCGTTATTACACTTCGGCATAATATTAATTTTACATCGTCTCCGTTTAGTTTGTAATTAAAATTTGGTGGAGGCGCCGGGTTAGGGTTACTATTATGATTTAATTTAAAATTTATTAGTTTCAGTCTTCATGAATAACAAAAGATGTTTGACATTTTGTCGGCAGAAATCCGTTCGACACCTCGCACGAGTGGAAGAAAGTTCCGGAATAAACTGGGAATTGACTTTGTGGGGTTTCCTCCGTGTTTCCCGTACTGATAAACCCATTCATCATCTTCGTGGAAAAATGTTCACTCACACGTCCAATTATTTCGAAACTAAAAAAAGTTTTATTTAATTATTTTTAAGGCAACTAGAGACCTGTCCCAACTTTTCAACTAATACAGATGTGATGTACTTTGTCAAAATAAGTTGAAATTTGCAGGCATGAACCTCACTAAAAGCATTTATTTATAAATATTTTATTATAAAGGCCTCAAGTTTTAAAATATTTGAGTTTGTAAGTTTATATTGCTGACGATCAGTAAAATTGAGTCTATCAAAAAGTTACTTCCGCGGGGCACGTTTAATTGTGTATTAAAACTTTCTTAAGCGGCAGCTTCTAATTTGATTGAAAGACATTTAAGGTCTTTAAATCACTTTTTAAAGTGTAATAAAATTCAGTTAAAAAACAAGAATAGTAGTACTGTTATAAACTAAGAAACGAAATGAAATTCTATTCAGGCTAATTGGACTTTTAAATTTATTATCAAAGATATTTCGCTATTAATAAAGTTTACGAATAAAAGACGAGTCTCGGGATATTAGAATTTTAATGAATTTTCTAATAACGCGTAGTTGCTTGTAATAGTTATTTTAATAATAACAAAACGTTTCTTCTTTTACTACCCAAGAAGTACAAAGTGTAAAGTTTTATGTTTTAAAATCTAATAAAAAGGATTTTACTGTCATGATTATTTATTTTTATTGTAAAATTATTACGAATGACGTTTTATAAACGCACGATATAAAAAAATTGCAGAGAAATAATAACGTACGGTTTAAAGATAAGGACGAATTCCAGTCGTAAATGTGGATAAGCTACCGTTGAAAATTTTGTGTTTGTTTAGGACCAGTTGCAAATTATGAATGTATACTATGTTTTTCTTTTGGAGATTGAGGAGGGTGTATAACTGGTGTCTACGAGATAAAAAACCAAGATTAGTTGTCAACGGCAACACTTTTTGAATTTTGCAAAGTATCAAACATCGGCTGTGCGTTTGAGTAGACAATAGCTCGAAATTAGTTGTTATAAATTCTTTTATGTGTAGACAATTAAGCGTGGAAGTAGCGAATTGTAGTAATCTGATTATCAAGAGTATTTTCTTTGGCCGATTAAAGAACTTAATATTCTTATTTGAAAGGGTTTCATGCATCCATTTGCGGCAGTGTAATGGAACGGAT